GTGTGCATATATATTTTATTATATNTTGTATATATATATATATATATATATATAATAGTATATATATATATATATATATAATGTATATATATATATATATATGTATATATATACATATATATAGTGTAAATATATATATAATGTATGTATGTATGAATGTATATATATTTGTATGTATATTTGTATATTTGTGTGTCTGTATATATTATCTTATCATTATATATAATGTATTACAATATAATTTTATATTTATATCTATATTATGTGTGCGTGTATGTGTGTATACGTACGTGTGGATACGTATATATGTATGTATATTTATATATATGTATATATATATATATGTGTGTGTGTGTGTGTATATATATATTGTGTGTGTGCATGTGTATGGATTTGACCACGTTCTGCTCCTTATGAAATTAATCCATATGAAACCCGACTGGGTGGATGATTTGTCAAGGCTTGTTTTATTTTTCCTTGTTTTTGTTGCTTTCCCATACAGCCACGTATTCCAACATAAAAGTTTGGAACTTACTTCTTCCTTCAGGTTTATATATTGATCTGCGTTCAGGATATGAATATGCAAGATGCACTCATCCGCACAGATATGTTTGAAGACTCTCTCCAATTTGTGCTTTTGCATCGTCTCACGTATAACCGACACCAATGACCGATTCTATTGTGCGAGAAAATACACCTTCTGTCGTGGTACCTTATACATCAACGGACATTCCGTACGAGCATCTGATCTTTTATTCCTTCTCCTTTCATTCGTCCTTCTCTAGGTCCCTCTCAAGAGTAGTAAGGATAGTTGGGGAGGTGCTAGTGATCCTTCCAACCTCAAACAATCAATAAGCCGCGCGCGGGCCTACACAGATCCAGAGGTGTGTGTAAAGTTATCGGGAAACCCTCAGGAGTTCTCATGTGTCTATCACAAGGGTGTTGGTGGCAGCTTCACCTACAAGTACAAAGAGCTCATTCTGACGGAAAGCATCGCCACATCGACGTTTGTGGTGTCCAAGATCTACCGAGATCGGATTGGGCAGAAGTACGCGGGGGGCGGATGGCATCCGAATGTCTTCCGTGAAGAGTCTCACCACAACACAGACCGCAAAGGGTCGCCCATGGAGTTCATAGCCGGGAGTAAGAACTACATACGCGCCTGTAACACGAAGGAGTGGTGCTACAGCTGTGTGTCGCTGGCCTGTCTGATCCTGGCCAACAAATTCATCCAGGACCAGGCCTATTCAAACAGCAGCTGGAGTGAGTGGAGTGAGGTGCCTCTGGTGTATTTGAATAAGATTGAGGAGGAAGTGTTGATCGCCATCGGCTTTGACCTGCACATCTACAAGGAAGAGTTTGATGCCGAGGCTGTCTTGTATTTGACGAGTATAGGCAATCCCAACAGCACGCTGGTATTCAATGTAGAAGACGCGGATATCAATACTGATTCCAGCAATAGCCCGGAGCGTGCGAGTGCCGGTGCCCTGACTGTAGGTACCGTACCTATAGAAATGGACAGTGAACCCACGAGGCGCCCACGGGGCAAGAGCGCCGGACACGCGGGGTGTATTTCTATGGCAACGGATGCTAGTTTACATTTAAATGGCACCGTGTCAACGAGCGCCAGTCCGGATCTTTTCACGGCCGGTTATGACGAGAAACTCCTGTCGTACGTACCCGCAAATGAGCACTACATGACACATTGCTTCCAACGGTCGCAATCCCAGAGAAGTGGGACGGGATATGATCAGGGGAGTAGTCAGACCCAAAATGGGGATGGGCTGTCTCCCCTGGAGGGTGAGGTAGACTCGCACTTAAACACCCGTTCACACAGCGTGCATTCTTTGCCGCAACCGTACAATTCATATCAGCTGCCATACACACAGCAGCAAGGGCACCCGCCAACACAATACACACAGGTGCAACGGCCATGCGACGTCTTCGATCAAGCCAATAGCAGGGGGGGTGCCATGTACTTTGAGCCTAGTTCTCAGGGACCCCCTCAGAAACCTGTGCACTATATAGATCGACGCAGCCACACCACCCCCACGCAGGGCCAGTTCAGTCGCATGGCGAATCAGGGCACCAAATCATCGCCGTACAAGAACTTCACTCGAGCAAACACACACAGTGCACTACCAAACGCACACACGATCAATGGCAGACACGCGCCCGCCTATGGTAACAGGATAATCAAGACGCTCTCGCGAGGGAATAGCTTGTCTGCGTCCAGTCTGTCCCAAATCAATGACCCATGGAACAATACCATGAAGAAGTCACCCGATGGCATGCACCACTCGGCTCAACACAGGGGCGAGTACAGGCACAGTGTAGGGTACCCTGGGAACGACGCGTGCCACAGGACCATCAGTACTAACAGCAACAGTCTATGCAGTCTCAGCACGAGTTTGGGGGATGCCAGCCAGACGAGTCTGAAGGCCACTAACAATAGCGGTACCAACACCGGTATCCAGGACGGTACAAGCTTGTCCACTAGTATGGATTGTGACAGAAGCTCTGGCACTCACACGCAGGCGTATTCTCTGGGGAGACCACCCGTAGCACCTTCTGCTGCAAAGGCGACACTATACCAACGGTGTCACTCCACCGACGATGCGGGTCGGGGTGCGGAGAAGCATAGCCTAGAAAGCAGCAGCATGGTAGGCGTACAGGTAGACGGTCACGGTGCAGCGGCTGGGAGGGCTAGCACTGTGAGTTTAGGTAGTCGCAAGGACTATACCGGTCCAAACACAGGCGATGTTGGGCCAGGGCTGAGTGACGAGTCCATGGTGGGGCAAGGGGTGTCCTATGGGGTGTACCACCGCAACAGTGTGTCAGATACCTCGTTGGGCTCTGGCAGTATGAAACCTAGTCAGGAGTTGGCTGGAGAGGTGTCTGCCAGTTCCACGCAGACACGCGGGTATGAGCCTCAACAGCAACAGCAACATCCGAACTACAGCCAACAGAACCAACAAGAACAGCACTACATACAGCAACAGCAACAGTATATACAACAACAACAACAACGACCCAAACAACATAGTAGTGTGGGTGTGCCGACACGCGTGACTGCCCCGCTACGCACAAAAACGTCTACATCATGCACAAGCAGTCGCACATCACTGCCCAAACTATTGGCTCGAAATAAGATCAAGCAACGGAAGCCTCTGAAGGACCCCAAAGGGAACGACGAACAAGCACGGCGGAAATTACAGATACAGCAACTGTCGCAGCAGCAGACACAGCTGCAAACACATCAACTGCAACAACTGTGCGATTCGCTAGCCGAAGGGGAGACTACGGAGTTGGAGATTCGCATGTTTGAGCAGTTGCAGATACAGTCGCAGCCCAACAGCCTGCGTGTGAGTCGAAGCAGTTCGTTATCGAACAATCGTAGCAAAGCCTCTATTCCGTCGGCCAGCTCGTCGGCGAGTACTTCCTCCGGGGCGTTCGACATGAGTTTATACAGCAGTAGCGTAGAAATGGATATCCAAGACGCTGTGGGATATGGAAATTGTCCAGAAATCAACGTAGTGAACGGTGATGGCGCTGTGCATGATTGCGGAGGCCAGAAAGCGCTTGGAGGTCTTTTAAAGTGCGTGTCCGATGTTCTGGGTAGAGCTTTGAATGATTACGCTCCATCGCAACACGATGCAGTGTTCACACACGTGCCTGACAATGGAGCAATCGGAACTACTAGTATGAGCCCTCCCTCAGCGGTATCTCGGCACAACAACGGTCAGTATACGTCCGCAGAAACGAACACAACGGCCCAAATTCTGGGCGAGAGTGGTGCAGCTTATGGTGCAGGTGCCGAGCCCAACAAACGACCAAAGCGTCGGTTCAATATGCATCTCAATAAAACGAGACGCCTGGCTGCCCATTTGGAGGAGCCCCATATGCAGTCCCAATCGGGCTGTGCGCGCAGTAACGGGAACAATGGACAGCCATACTCGTGGGAGGGTGAGCATAACGCATGGCAGAGCCTGATGAAGGAGCAACAGTCGGGTTTGCATAGACCTTATCTGAATTCATAACGCGGCGAGAATATATAGGCGAATAACAGATAAAATTTTATTTTAGTGTTTTTTTATCGCTGTTGAATGGCATTTTCGTAACCTATGTAGCTGCTACTATTGTTTGCTGAGAGCTGCGTCGTTTCATCACAATATATCAGTGTGGAACACATGGGAGTACGCGGTGATGATGTATAAAGTCTTTTAATTTTAAAAGATATAAGAGAGAGTGATGGTCGCGAATCCTATTAGGAGACAGTTTGATCCGTCGCGGAACGATAACAACAATGTACAGGCATCACCTTTAAGAGGGACATACTATACCGAAAAGACAAGGAAAGCATGAAGGAGCTCCTTAACGTGCCCAAAAATAGCAAACATCTAAGGCATTCATCCCGGGAGTCTCTCAATACTATAAATAGTGGCGCACTTCAGTTGAACCCTAAAAGGTGGGGGGGGGTTTTATATATAACAATTTCTGCCCCATGTTTGATTGGTGTTCGTCTTGTCTCAAAGTTGCCAGCTCCGGTACCACCACTGTGTATGATATAGAAATTAGATGTGTGCAAAGGTATCCCCATCGTTACAGCTTATGACTATGCTTTCGAAATTCGTTTTTATGAAGTGGGTCTTATGGCACAAAAACATGGGTCATATAATTTGTTTCACTGACCAGGGCTGCCCAGAAATTTGTGAATGCTTTGTACCTCAAAAATAAACAGCCAATTGATGTGTCAAGAGCACTGTACCGAATGTACTATATTAAACTATATAAGATTATAGAACACCGAAAGATGCAGCTATGAGAACATGACAACCTAAGGTGTAAATTATGAAAAGTACGCTCTCAGTCCCCAAAGCCAACAGTTGAGAGTATGAAAGGGCTTGCCCGGTAGGGCCCCAACGACGCAACTGCAAAGGAAGAGGGATACCACCTGTCAATTGTTTGAGTTACTACTGTATTTGATATATGAAAACCAGGATTGGTTATATCGACGTTGATTTCTTCTAAATTTTACCTACATACTCTAAAGAACAATAGCTTCTGATAGTGGTGTGTCTTAATCGTATTAGTATTTGACCATTTACTATAGCGGGTTCAATAGCCACATTTCATCGCATTGCAATAGCTGGTATTTCAGGTAGCCAATTCCCTTGTACGGTGACTTGTATTTCCATTCAGCGAAGACTTCATAATAGTACCAATTTTAAATGAGTTCCTCGCATTAGCGTTGACTTGAAGATGGATCGATTAGGTTGAGTTTTAAATATCAGAAGAGCCTATTACCATACATATTACCTTACATGCGAGTGTAATCTTTCGATTCGGGTAGCGGTGTATTTCAATCGTGTAAGTGTTTAATGGCTCAATTGCCAAGTGTTCAATAACAGCATTCCATCGCAATGCAGTAGCTTGTATTTTGACCAGATAATGTTTCTTTTATTGCATACCATACTTCAAAAGTTGAACAAAATCTATTATGAATATTTGCTTAGGTTGTATTTTTAATATCCAAATGGCTTGTGAAGGTGGTAATGTTTGATGTCGTGTTTGAAGTGAAACAAGGAGCCTATGAATATTGAATTTGATTGCCACCTGGTTGTCTATAAAAATATCGGTCGGTTGCTGTTGTGGAGAACCCATTCCAGGCATATAGTGACAAATAACCCCTAAAAAGTGAAACCTGTAGTAGTCTTTAGATTCTGCCGTATATTTTCAGTTTTTAGGCGTGCTGTTGAGTATAATGATAGCTCCCGTGGTTGATCGGCGGGCGTTTAAACCACCGGCATAGTCGACGACACTGTAGACCGTAAATACCAGTGAGTCATGGCATATTGAACCCCCAACGTGTGGCTTGGCGTGGCCTAGGAGTAACGGAGTGTAAGCTTAGCCACTATCCAGTGTTGTTAGGAGGGGTTATTTGGAATTGAATAGTGCTGCGATTGGGGCGGCGACGTCAGGCCGTGTGAGATGTGCTGCGTCGTTAAGTTCGCCAACAAGTTGTCGGTAGAGGCGTTGACGATAAGGCGTAGGCCATTTGTTGGTGTGTTGCTGAGGTCGGATTCTTCTAGTGCTTTGGTGATACAGGAATCTTGCAGGGGGTGGCTGTGAGACATGTTGATCAAGGATTCGAGTACTAAAAAGCCAATGAGGGGAGGCATCATATTTGATACTAAAATTATTGAAGTGATATTTATCACTGCGGAATGTGGTGTCGAGAGGTTGGAAAATATAACATCGACCATGGTAACGAGAAGCAGATGTTGATGGTTTGCTGTCTTGCGCATGAATAGGTATTCATCTACGTAGCTCAATTGGATCCATACGCGTCTGCTTTGTGTTTCATACAGCTGCTTGATGCAGATGTTTCTGGTTGAGTTGTATGTTCGGTTGGTGAAAGGAAGATGCGGTGGCACGAGGTGGGCTATGACTACCGGTACCTCTAACGCTCTTGAAAATGTACTTCACCAATATTTTGGTTTATGATCTTCTTGGAGAAACAAGGCGAGATACGGTATTCAAACGGCCTTGTTGCATGGTTGGGTCCGAATAGCACGTCTGTGTCAGAGCGAGGGGCAGGTTTGGGTGTCTTAGAATGGCGTAGACACATGGCATTGCATCCGAATTTTCGAACGTAGGCTGTTGGTGCCGGGGGTATGGAGAAATAGTCCATAAGAAGGCGATTTGGTTTCGTCTGGTGACTCCACCCCGAAAACATTCAGATATAAGTGCTTGCCTGAGCAGGCTGCAAACCTTTGTGGGGAGAACCTGGTTAGGTTGTGCCCAATTGTAGTCATGTTGGAGCGACTAATCACCATCGATGCCACAACGAAGTTCGTATTGCTGGACGTGTGTGGGTATTTCAATCAGGATTCGTTGAGGTGTGAAAATGGCATCTCGTTTAGAGTGTATGAGCGCGTATAAGATATGTATGGAGTCTGCGCATAAAGTTTTAAATCTGCACGAAAATCTGTATCTGACATGACAGCAACAACACAAAGCGCCACAGGCAAAGGTGGATATGTAATGCAGCCAGATAGCGATAGCACACTGGAGCGTGAACCAACTAAACCAAAGATGAGCAGATTTCATGTAAAACTGGATTATGCTATATACTCAAGCAGTGTTTACGTTGCTCCCATCATAATCAGTAGTCAATTTATATACTTTGAAAGTAGAGGATCCAGTTGAAATCAGCTCCTAAAGGGACTAAGAGTCAAAAAGCGAAAAGATTTAAAAAAAGGGAAGACGGCAAGTGACAAAGCGAGTTACAAACGTACAATAGAGGATTCAATTTCGTCGCCCACGTAAGAGAGTGATAAACCCTACACTGTAACTCAACGGGAGGAGGAGGAGGCCGCTATGCGTTTGGTACCGTTATGCCATACGTTACGAGAACGGAGACGTCGGATAACTGACACGGAATCTTCGGACGATACCGGTGTGACGACTTCTGAGCAACCGGACTCCGATGAGTACTTCAGACGATTTGAGTGGTTAGCGCAAGATTTTCACAAGTACCAGAGGAGGACGCAACGAAACAGAAGGAAATTTGCTGTGGATAAATCCCCAGAGACGACCCGAGACGATTCTGATCAGAACATCGAACCCCAAACAGAAGAAGCTCACAGGACAGAGTCAAAAGCTAATTCACCCATGGAAGAGGATGCACCTGCCCCCACAACCATCACTCAGTCGTCTACCACAACAACAACCACCACGGCACCGTAACCGGCACCAGTGGCTCTGGATGACGATGATGGAGATGAGAATTGACTGAATGGTTTGAATTCATCGATTCTAAGAATCAGCGAGTGAAATTAAAATCGCAGACTTCACAGCAAAGATTTTACGCGCGGAGGCAGCAGTTAACTAGGCAATTAATAAGAGCAAATAGGGCCAAGATAACCTTCAAAGGACGATGGCAAGGCATCTACAGTCCAAGATGGATCCTGAGCTACGCGTGGTTCATGCTGAGAAGACCGTGGACAGTAATAAGTTTGTCAAGGATGTAGGTAAGTTACCAACTACATATCGACCAGATCGAAAAGATCGAAAGGACCCTATCGATACGAGTATCTTGCCACTTTTGTCTAGATCAAAAGAAGATTTTGGTCAAATCATGCAAACTGCAAATTCGCGTAAGAACCGTTAGTTCGAGGCGGTACAACAGAGTTTTAAGCCATCATTTCGGCTGCTGTTACTAAGCTAAAAACGTGGAAAGAAAAGATGGTTTCCCATCTGTTCTCGATGGGCCCTGCCCGGAGTTGTTGGTATCCGTTATGATTCCTCCGGACGACAGAACTCCTGAGTCCCATAACTTAATGGAACTAGACGCATATATATCACGTACCCAAACGCAAGGGATGTCACCAGACAAACTGATCATGTGTGTGCTATGGGTGCAAACAATTTTCTGGTCGACCCTTCACAGGAAAGATCAGGACGTCTTGTATGCAGACATATACTTTCTTATCCAGACAAGGTACGTGATATTTCAGTTGAAGGGCCAACAGATGACACAATGAAACTCACAAACCTAACATGGACTGAATTTTATTCGAGAACAGACCAGGCCTTTTCTAAGCGCCCGAGTTCTGTGGTGAAATTCACATAATCTAGCAAAAATGTTGTAGCCAAAGCAAATGGAGGATACACAGGCAGGTTCCACAAACACTTCTGTAAGGTGCAGCTGAAGAAATCGGCTCTTGGCACTGAAACAAAAGGATGCATCTCTAGACGAGCGTGTCGTTCTAGGTATACGGGTTAACGGACATGAAATATAAGCGTTTTTAGATCCGGGCTCGCATATTTCATGTTTATCATCACGTTTTTGTAAGATAACGGATGTAGCACATAAATCAGAACCTATCATGCTAAAGTTAGCTGACGAAAGAGAAATAACATGTCGAGACATGGCTGTGGATCTGAGGTTTACCCTCAACGATCAACGGACTACAGTCACAAAGGCAGTATTCTGTATCATTTCGCCAGACTAGGATTTCATAGTAAGTATGGGAGACTTGTTGTCATTAGGTATAACTACTACTGGTTTACCTACTAACATCGACTCACAAAAGGACCAGTCGGATGACAGCTTATTGAAACCTGTATATAAGCCTTCGAAGACTGTAAAAGAGATGATACTTCGATTAGCAAAGAATCTAAACGATCTACTTCTCGGACAGAATAAGATCACAAACTAGGCCAAGTTCAAGTTTATTCGAAGTAGAAATGTCCGACGCGCAACTACGTAGCATGGCGTCACGAACAGGAAGTCAGAGAACATGTTAAGGCCTGACTGGAAAATGAAGTGATCGCAGTCAACTACGAACCCACCCCAGTTAATGTAGCACTTTTGGCAGTATGCCAGTTCAACTCGGATGGGACATTGAAAATGTCCGTGTGTATTTGGCCATGAGCCCTATAAACGCACTCATACCTACACATAATTTCTCCTACAGAGAATTAACGAATTGCTGAGACGAATGTAAAGGGTTAAAATCTTCTCCACCATCGACTTAAAGTAAGGCTACCACCAGATGAAGATGTACAAGCCGCATAGGAAGTATTTCACATTTACCTGGGATAGGCAACAATATTCGTTTAATGAAGCACCATTTGGTCTACATATGTTACCAACGTTCTTCCAACAGTCATGCAGGATTTGTTCCGAGACATGGATAATGTGCAAGTATATATAGCCGACATCGTCGTATATACGAAGACCAAAGAGGAGCAAAATAAAGTTGTGCGTGAGGTCTTAGCCAGACTGAGCAAACACAACTTAATCAACGCAAGAAATGCCAATTTGGCGTCAACAAAATTTAGCTGTTTTCCGAGATTTTAGCGAAGGGACCATGATGTATTCCGGAAAGGTAGAACACTTACTAGATTGGAGAACTCCCACCACTGGAAAGGATATAAACAGCATGTGCGATTTCATCAACTTCCTGTCGGATGGAGTGCCCCACCTAACAAGCTATTTTAAACCATTTGGACATTTATGATGTCACAAAGGTAAGTCAGGAGCCCTATGGACCATAGAATGTGATGCCTTTAAGCAGCTCAAAGCAATCAACTTCCTGTCGGATGGAGTGCCCCACCTAACAAGCTATTTTAAACCATTTGGACATTTATGATGTCACAAAGGTAAGTCAGGAGCCCTATGGACCATAGAATGTGATGCCTTTAAGCAGCTCAAAGCAGTGATTCAGCGGGCGCCAGTAGTTCAGCCATCAAAGGATGCAATACCATTCATGGTGGCTACAGACGCGTCCGACATGGCACCTGTCGGCGTACTGTATCGATGGAAAACCGAGATATTTGCAGATATTAAGCAGGACTATGAATTCATCACAAATCAACTACTTACGGTGCAACAAGGGCTATTGGCTATTGTAACTGCACTCACTCATTTCAAGGATGCACAATTCTATCAGAATTCATTGCAACACCTAAAGGACATGAAACCCAACTCACAGTTGGCCAGTTGGTGGCACGATTCTATTGCAAAATGCTCTTTTGGTATAACACGTATCCCTGGTACACACAATCACGTACCGGTTTTGCTCACACTTTGTACCGTACTTAAACAATATGATTAGAGAGTTAATAGCTACGGATTAGATGGCCAATACTAGATGGCTTAAGATCTGTGTGTGCGTGTGTGAGTGAGTGAGTGAGTGAGTGTGTGTGTGTGTGTGAGTGAGTGAGTGAGTGAGTGTGTGTGTGTGTGTGAGTAAGTGAGTGAGTGAGTGAGTGTGTGTGTGAGTGAGTGAGTGAGTGAGTGAGTGAGTGAGTGAGTGTGTGTGTGTGTGTGATATGTTTGTATGTGTGACGTGGTATGCGTGTGTGTGTGTGCGATTTCTTATGTGTGTGCGATTTCTTATGTGTGTGCGTTTGGATTCATGTATGTGTGTACGTGCTTGCGGTGGAGTGTGTATGTTCAAAATAAATCATGGAGACTTCATGTTAGCCAATATATTTCTTTCAAATTGTATACTCGATTTTAGGTAATACTGTGTACTTTCGTGTCGACATTGTAATTCCCTCTAGCTGACTCAATCTGGCATAATCCTCCGAATCTAGATCAAAGACACGCTTGACGACCTTCTTTGAAAATCGGATGCTCTTCTCTGTGTAGTCTCGGCCCATACTGATACTGGCTAATCGTTCTTTCTGTTTCTGTATATTCCTCATGCATGTTTTGTTGCCCGTTTCTTTGTCGTTATGAGAGAATGACCATGGAAGCATCCGATACGGCTGATAGCAAACGCTGCAACTACGTACAGCTCTCGGTTGGGTTTCTTGCTTTCGCTTTTTGTGCTGTATGCTCCTGACTTCTTATGTTCCGATTGTTTGAGTCGCAACTAAGCCATTTGTATCCGTCCGAACGCCTATTGTCGACGTTCCACATTATATTATACCAACAGGATCCTGTGTACTGACTTCTTCTTGTGCAATCAATGCATCTACATTTACTCGGCGCTTACTTACCAGATTGTTGGGCTGTCATGTTCTAGCTTTATAACGATTAGTATCAGCGTACGGTCTCGAATTCCGAAGAAAGTTATTAAATGATACATCTTTCACAGTAGCATAAGCGCTTGCATCAGCTTGGCATCGACGATAGATGGTTCTGAGTGAATCTGCGTGTGTAAGTATGAACTTTCTCTGTGAAGCTTGATATTCGACGTAGGGATAATATTATTTATTTCAAAAATGGCAAGTATGTATGATGCAATGTATGAACATATGGTATGGCTCTCATAGTCGCTGTAGGGGTTCAGGAAAAATTGATGGGAAGAAGTGGTCAGTAAATTCCCGTTTGAAGCTTGGGCCAAGTGAGTCGACAATGGAAGATACGTGCTGAGTCAATTCGGACCGGTGTTGACAAAACACTGTTTCTATCGAATGTTCCATATATTTGCTTGCTGACCTACTAAGTAGAGTACCCACCTCTGTGGTACGGATCGGGTCTGCGCAGTGTAGTGCCACGGAATGGGTTAGTGCAGAGTACGAAATACCGAGAAGGACCAGGTTATCCGTCATAATCCGTTCGATAAGCGAAGATGGGGGTAAGCCAATGCCGCACCAGACCACGGATGAATCCGGTATGTGTTGGCTGGCCTGGATCGGAAGTATCATAGTCGGAACCAACAAGCGCGATGATTTGGGTTGAACCGATATTTGGAACATCTGTTGATGTGTCAGGGACGGGTGAGGGTACGGTGGTTCTTCAACATGCTGGAGAAAAGATCCAAGGTGTTCGTGGAGGGTCCAGATACCGTGGAAGTCGTGGCACTCCTGTAATTGCTGAAGGAGGTCAGGGCCAATGGACGGGATGTTTTAGGGTTTAGGGTTTTGTCGTGGACTCTTCGACGACAGGCAATGATATAGAAATGGCTGACATCGTCAAAGAGGAGAGCCCAGTAGTATTGACCGATGATGAACAATGTTAGGCCGAATGAGGATGACACTCTTCAACCCACATGGAATCAACATGGACAACGCAGCACATACAGATAAGTGGTTGAACGTTATATCGATTTTAAGTCAGGTTGATGTTATGTGTGTGGTTGAAACCTGGCATAACACCACATTTCTTAATCATATACGCTCGAACACACACGACCACTTCTTCCCATCAATCTTTCCTGAACCACTACAGCGACTATGAGAGCCATACCATATGTTCATACATTGTATCATACATACTTGCCATTTTTGAAATAAATAATATTATCCCTACCAGAATGCGTCGAATCAGTTGTTGGATGCAGGTAAAGTGGCTGGTAGTGAACTTGTGGCTACCGGGGCAGACAAGGCAGAGACAGCCGTCGGTGCGGTAGTCGCGGAATGTGAACATGTACGTATTCGTTACAATCATAGCACAAAGCCGGATTGGTGTAGACTCGAAGAAGCGATTGAAGCTGTCGTGTCTGGCTGTGTTTCGGTTTGAGGTTGGCGATTTACCCATAACCAGTTGGTAGTAGTATTGGCGCCGGGCCATTGCCGCGATCTCCTTGTTGGACCTAGTTTTGTTGAGTTCTTCCTGATGTCGTCACAGCGTTGGCGGAGGGCTACATGGTCGTGTGTACACCCGCCCGTGGTTTTGTGTACAGTTTTCAGGTGAGCATAGATACTGTATGG